AGGCTCCATTGCAGTTCCTAAAGTATAGGGTTCAGGGAGCTTCTGGTTCTTAAACACGTCAGTGTTAGGGACGCATAGCCAACTCCGCAGGGACAGAAGCTTCCAGGCTCAGGACCCTTTCAGACCTCGCTCTGTGTGTCTCTTTGTCTCGACGTTTATTCATGTCCTTTGTAATGAGCTGGTAACCTAGTAGGTAAACTGTTTACCTGAGCCCTGTGAGCCATTCTAACAAATTACCAAATTCAAGGAGGGGGGGTCATAGGAACCTCAATTTATAGCTGGTCAGTCAGAGTACAGGTGATAACCTGGAGACAAGGTTGGCATCTGAAGTGTGTGTGTGTGAGGTGACTGAGTTGAGCTGTAGGACACCTTGCTGGTGGCACCAAATTGCTCTGTGTGGAAAACCTGCACATCGGCGTCAGGAATGCTATGTGAGAATCGAGGAGAACACAGAAGTGTTTTTCCAAGACAAGATCTCAACACTGCTGTTCAATAGCTGTGCAAACTTAGGCAAGTTACTTGCCCTCTCTGTGTCTATCTCCTCCCTGGCAAAATGGGAACATGGATGTCATCCACAGACAGGAATGTCCTGGGCATCAATGAGCTGACACCTGTGAAGTGCCTAGAACAGTGCCTGGCAGCACTGACCTCATTATATGCATGTGCACATGCTTAAAAGCATTTTATTATTAAAATTCCAAGTATGTGCAGAAATGGAGATGTTACACTGAATCCTGCCTGTCACTGGCATCTGACTTATCAACTGATGGATCTCTGCAGATCAGGGAAGGCTGGCCACCTGGCTTGGGTCATGGAGTCTGTCACAGAGTCCAGAGCTGAGCCCGGGTCAGGGTAGTGGGGTAAGTGGTGGCCCCCAAAATTCATGTTTATGTGGATCCTCGAAAGCGACCTTATTTGGAATAAGGATCTTTGCACATGTACTTAAGAATTTCAAGATGAGGTCATCCAGAATGAGAGTAGGTCCTAAATCCAATGACTGGTGCCTTTATAAGAAATGGAGAAGATCCAGAGGGAAGGCAGCTGTTGGAAATGGGGCAGAGATTAGAGGGGTAGGGCCACAGCCCAGGAACACCAGGAGCCACTGGAAGCTAGAAGATGCAGGAAGGTCCCCCTCCACACATACCCCATCAACACTTCAGTCTTAGACTCTGGCCTCCAGAACTGGGAGAGAATAAATTTCTGTTGTTTTAAGTTACCCAGTTTGTGGTAATTTGTTATAGCAGCCACAGGACACAAATATACCAGGTATTGTAGATGGAATTTTGTCCCCCCAGATTCATATGTTGAACCTTAATCCCAATGTGACTGTATTTGGAGATTGGGCTTTAGGAGGTAACAGGTTAAATGAGGTCATAAGGTGGGGGCCTAATTCCATAGGACTGGTGGCCTTAAAAGAGGAAGAGATTTGTCTGTTCTCTCCACAAGCACACAAAGAGGCCATGTGAGTGAGATGGTAGCCACCTACAAGCCAAGAGAGGAGGCTTCCGAATGAAACCTCTTGCCAGCACCTTGATCATGGATTTCTGGTCTCCAAAACTGTGAGACAAGTTTCTGTTGTTTAAGCCACCCAGTCCGTGGTATTTTGTTATGTCAGTCTAGCTGACTGATATACCAGGTAACCCAAACCCACAGTGACGTAGGAGATAGCTCAGGAGGGCCGAGGGCTAGCATTAGAGGCTGGCGCACTGGGGCCAGCAGCCCTTGGGAATCTCAGTCCAGCAGCATCAGCAGTCTGACCACGTGCTTGCCAGAATGCTGCTGGCAAGCAGCCCACAGAAGATGGGAACCTGGAGTGGTGGCCTGAGAGCCAGGGCAGAGTCCAGGTCTCACAGGCCAAGGACAGGCACAAACAGCACTGAAGTTAACTTCAAAGAAGGTGCTTCATGAAGGTCACGAGGACTGAAAAATGATGCCCAGGGACCTCGTGAAGCTGGAAGTGGGAACAGGAAATAGCTAGATGAGATTTATCTTGGAAAATACAAGCTCATACATCTGGATAAAACTAATCCAAAACACAGGATGAGAGCCACAGCGTGGGACAGGGAGGCGGACTGCAACCCTGAGGGCAGCTGGGGGGGCCCAGCTGGAAGCTCACCTGTGCAGCCTCTCTGACTTTTTAGGGGTGGTCTCAGCGTGGGGAGCAGGAGGCTGGGGACTTAGGCATCTGAGAACCCCAAGCCAGGGTTTTTGGAAATAGAGGACTGAAGTCTATGTTTTCCAGCTGGCTGGATGGTGACCTGGTGGTCCATGGATGAGAGGAGCATATCACCCATAGTCTTGCCCACTGGTGCCCAGGCCTCTGTTCAGTGGGCACTGAGGGTCACCCCCCCTCACAAAACCTCGCTGCACCTGTGGAAAGCCCTGTGTTCCTCATTTTTGCAAGTCGCCCAGTGTTTTAAGTACTCAGGTGTGATGGGTTATTAAAAGCTTCCTCTGCCACCCCAGGATGAAACCCAGGTGCCCTGGTCAGAGACAGAGGACATTAGAAGGAAAGGAAATGGTCTCAGGGGGTAGAGGGCTGTTCCCTGAGGAGACGTGGGACCCACAGATGGGGAACAAGGCTCCCACCCCTTAGAGAGGCCCTGGGAGCTCCCCATTCCCTGCTGACAGGAGGAGACATAGGGGAGTGGGGATACGGAAGGTGTCACAAGCCCATCCTCCTGGAGTGTGTGTCTGGGGGCTCAGGAGGGCAGGCTGGGAGCTGGTGTGGGAGGCTGTCCTGGGCTGAGGCACCTGCCTCCCTCAGCCCTGTGCCCCCTGCATGTGGAGTGATGAGGAGAGGACAGTCGTACCTTGACTGTCCCATCTAGTCTGAGCATGGCTACACTGCTGTCTCAAAATGAGACACACAGGAACATTCAATATTTCCAAGAGGTCAGCTTTCCCAGCCCGGTCTGTAGATTCAGCTCAATCCCAGTCTTGGAAAAGAAATTGCTGGCTGTGACTTTTGTTTTTATTGGATATGGTTGCCAAACTGGTTTTTAAAAAGTCCTTCCTACAAATTGCCAATTCCCTCACTCCTTCAACATGTGTGATCAATTTTTTAAACGATTAACAGTGAATGCAGCAGGTGGAGTGTCCCACTGTGTTCTCACTTCTCTGATGGTTGGACAGGTCAGGCAACAGGGCATAAGCTCATGAGCAGCGTTTCTTCTGTGGTTCGCCTACCGGCGCTCTGGCCAGTTTGTCTGTTAGGCCGCCGCTCCTTATTTACCTGTGGACAGCTTCAAAATGTGTCACAGACACTTTTCCCTCCGAGTTTCTTTTTAATTTTGATTTCTGAACACATTTTAAATTTGTATGTAGCCAAGTTTATCATTCTTTTCTTTCAGTGTTTCGGGTTTATGGTGATACTTGGACTATAAAAACGTTCACCACCTTTCCAGTACGTTCTTTATTTGATCCATCTGGATTTTATTTTGGTGTTAAGGAGCGAGGGAGGGAGCCGACTTCTATTTTTCCAGATGGCTGGCCAGTTGTCCCAGCGCCATTCGACTGAAAACCTTTCCTGGTGGGAAGCGGCCGGGCACCAGCGGGTTCCAGGCTCCGGAGTCCGCCCCGCGGCGCTGCCCCGGCCCCCGCGCCGCCCGGTCTCCCCGCCTGCGCCCG